AAACCCTTTACCAAGCTGCGGACGAGACACAGCCTGAGCCAAAAAACGGCAAGTGACGTGCAGCTTGGCTAAATATCGAGGAAGATTAATTCCTTCTTGCCAGGACCTTCAGCAAAGCCTTGAGACAAGAATATCCATCTGCTCGGTCTTTCAATGGGCATCATGAGACCTGCAAATAAGGGACATTCAGGAAAGGGAGTAATACAAATAAACAGTTTATTTATCCAATTTATGTTTTAATTTATGCAGATTAAAGTCTTCCTCTTTGGAGAGGAAGACACAAATAGGCTGTATGATCTCCTTCCAAGATTTTTCTGAGATGTTTTCAAAACAGAGGGCTCTCCGCTCCTCCTCCACCCACTGTCTTTGAGGAATTTTTGCCTCACAGGTTTTGAGTTATCTGACGTCCCAGCTAAGCTTTCATGGCCCTCACCAGGAACACAAAGCGAAGGCAATCATCAGGCTTAAATGCCTCCGACTGCTGTTTAGCATTATGTTAGCTACAAGCCACAAAATAATGGCAAGGACAGCTTGTTGCAAGAACACCCCCACAAACCAGGCCCTCTCCCCATCTACGCAGAGCCTGAACATTTCTCTGAGATGCCAGAGATGTTATTTTCACCTTTGAGGAACCTGTGTTATGCTGTCTAAGGGGAGACAAACATTGATAAATACCTGAAACCAAGGTTGTGCGGTAAACGAAGCCTTCCACCAATAACTTATCTGTGAAGAAGCCAGAATGCATCTTAGACCTTTAGACACGAAACGGTCCACACAAAGGGCATCTTCCTTCTGAACTAAACAGCCACAGAGGCACAGTGAAGACTGTTGTTACAAGAAAGCGGTGGTCAGAAATGTGTGTGCTTCAAAACCAGGCAGAACAACTAGGCAGGCTGTAAACACGCAGAGCTAAACGCACAGCTTAGGGGCAGGCATCCTTCAGAACACATCTTCATCATTCTAGGAGATGCTGAGTTGCGCGCTGCTAGTGTTTCATCACTCACCAAAGACTGTTCATCCACAGAAAGAACAGAGCTTTACATAAATACTGGGAAAAGGAGAGAAGTTCAGCTTTACTAATGGTGACATCACATAATAGAGGGTCTAGTCCCCAGACACAGCCTAAAATAGATAGCACGCAGTTAATGCACCAGAGCTGAGCAGAAGGCCAAATAACGAGCTATTGCAAATGCTTCTAACTATTCCATGGAAATGACCTTGTATTAGAACAAGGTTCCCAACAGAGCAGACTGAGGGAGAATCATAGCCGGCCCACATTTTCACGTGAAATATGAAGACTTAATGTTTCTGATTCACCAACAGCTACGAAATTCCAGATTTCCTGTTCAGTGGTGAGGGAACTCTAATGAAGAAAATGACAACACACAACTAAATGAAGAGCACTTAGTGTGTTCTCTCACTCTGAAGGGTAGGTTTCCCAATCACCCAGTCACTAATAACGAAATTAATCTGTGTTTTAAGTCTCTTGGAAGTGCTTCCCTCTCCCAGCGCAGCAGGACAATTCCTCCCAGGTCAGCTCATCTATGAACAGGATTTGGACTCAAGTCAGTCTCACCCTCACAAGCCTTAGATCTTCCTTCTAAGAGCAACAACTCAGCCTCCCAGCACTAAGAGCTGTGCCACCGCCTTGGCTTTGACTGGGACTCTTATGCATTTGTACCATGGAGTCAGACCCAGCCTGCTCTCATCCCCTTCTGCCTGCACTGCTGGGACACGGGGGGACTGCAGCCGTTCAGCTGAAAGGTTAGGAACAGCTCTGGACTTCCTCCCTTCAGCACATGGTAGGATCATTTGGCTCAGACACATGCGAACTTCGTTAGCTGTCCCGTCAGCCCCTCCGAGCTTCCTGTGAAGCCCTTCTGGTAGCAGCAGGCTGATGTCAGATCCCACGCATTTCAGAAACCGGGCTGGGGGGGACATCTCCAAAACCTTTGCTGCTGTGGCTCTCAAGGCCACAAACTAAGTGCAGTTTTCGCTGGTTTTGATATTCCCTCCTGTTCTTACCTGTCCTGCAGCTATGGACACAACTGCAATCGTTATGCCACAAAAAAACAGCCTTGAGTTTAGTGATCTGCAATAGACTCCCTGCATAACTCTCTCCTTTAGCTTCTCTGACCGAGCTCCTCATGTGTATTTAGGTTCAATGTCCAAAGGCCTTTATGTAAAACCCACCTACAGTTCAAAAATATTCCTAGGTGCAAGAATGCCATTGAGAACTGATGACCAAGCACCTGTCGGGTAAATTTCTTTAGGCAAAAAATGGAGATCACATGATGTCTGCCCTGCTTATTTAGATTACAGACTTTATAAGGAAAGGGAGTGTCTTTCCCTGAGTTGGCCTTCACTTTCTAGCACAAATAAAGACTTAGTTAACATGACTGCAGTGCAATTTATCACTACTTTAATAATGACAGTCTGGAAGGTTGACAAAAGGGGAAAAAAACCCCAAACAAACCAAAACCAAGAATCCTGAATTTCAAGATCAAAATTTCTGACCCTCAGATTTTTCAGTCCTAAACAGAGGGTTTCTAGCAGGCTCTTAGCTTTCAGAGAACTAAACGCAAAGAGAGGGGAAAAAAAAAAATCAGAGCGCTTTGGTTCAGCTCCCCCACTGAAGACTGCCCCCAGAAAAGAAAAAGAAAAAGCCCAAGAGTAAAATGCCTTGTAGATGCCCTTGAAGGCTGGCACCACCTGACACCGCCACGTTCGCGCCCCCGTTTCTCTCTACGTGCTCAGCATGCACCTTGCTTAGATAGCTCCACCGAGACTGCCAAACTAGGAAGTTAAAAAAATGCAACAAATTCCCTTATTGTTCTTGTCACTGCAGTAAGTATTTATCTTAGCACCATGTGCTAGGCGAATCATCGTCTGTTCATGCTTTAATCTATCTAATCCAGGATGGAAAAACACAACCCAGCAAATCTTCATTGTTGGAATGTTATTTATAGCCATCCTTTTTTATGAATAAAAGACCTGCTCATAAGTCAGCTGTCAGATTTCCCATTGTTATTACAGGTCCTGATCCTGTGTGACCCTACTACTAACAGCGGAATGGCCATACTCTTCACCTGGGAGCCCGCAGCTGTTGGTAAAGGCAAGAAGCACCTTCTTGGCTCCTTTTTTTTTAATTCAGCCCTTGCTGGGTGACCAGGCTTGCTCAGTGCAGCCCCTATAGTGCCACTTCACCCTGTCCACCCCTTCATGGAGGAGCACTGGGTCAGGCATTCTGCCCTTCTGGCACCCAACCCAGCATGTGGGTTGCATCCCCACGGACAGAGAGGCATTTGAGGAAGGGGAAGAAGAAGCTGCACTCCCTCTCCTGTTTTCCTCAGCTGTATCAAAATCCAACCCCAAATGAAAAGATGAAGATGTGTCTATGATAGAGACTAGAGAGGAAAAAGTAGTAGTGCCCCTTTTCTGTACATGCCTTTGTTTGTTGCACATAAAGACTGAATTGCCACTGAACCATGGAATTAAAGCATTCAGATAGGAAAGCAAAGGGGACAGGAAAAAAAAAACCCTGCATCTATTATACTATAGTACCAGAAGCAAGAAAGTTAAGAAAAAGTATTATTTAAAAAAAAAGGATAAAAAACCCCCCAAACAAACAAACAAACAAATGGTGTGCTCTCAGTTAATTCACTAAGTGCAAAAGCACATAGAAGGAAGGTGTTGGTATGCCACCTAATAAACATTTCCTGCTACTGCACACACAAGCCCCATTTTCCAGCCTCACAAATCTACCCCCGTGCCGAGCAGCTGTTTGGAGAGTTGCAGGGTAGGGGGGGGGGGGGGGCGAGGGAGTTGTTTTTTTGTTTCATTGGGGTTTTTTTGAAACAAAACTCTAACCTTAACCCACACGTTCACAGTTAAGCGAATGTCATGTGGGCTGTCAGAAAAAAAAGCTGCCAGTAAATAAAAACGTAACATTTTAGCAATAGGTTACTAAACGTGCTTAGGTTGCAAAGTATCAGTTATTCACTACAGGCTACTTGCTTAGTGCTAGAAAGCCTTATTCCCTTTGCCATTCATTTGGGAGAAATGAATAAATTTAGGCAAATCAGGAGTAGGGTGAATCTGGAGAAATTACAAAGGGGAGGAGTTCACCTTCCTGGCTATGGCTGTCCAGGACTACTTACTCCAGTATAAAACTGAGAGCAGAAATATGATCACATACTAAGGAGTCTAATCAATTCTGGTTTCAACACTGAGCCTATTTAAAACAGATAATGGAATTGCTGTTCCTTGTTCTGTTCTCTCTGCACATTCTCAAGACAGAGGTAGTAGGTAAGTCCTTGCCTGCTCTTTCTAACCCAATGTACCAAGGTTACTTTTATTTATGATTTGTTTCTGAGTATCAGTATATACAGTACAGACTCTAATTCTTCTATATGACAAATGGAGAATGTTTTATTTATTTCTCTGCCTTTTACTATTTGTGGTAAAATATCAAGTATAGACTTTTCTCATGAATGAACGAGTGGGGTGTTTTTTTTTTTTCTTCACCTTTAGAGATTCTAGTTGCCTTCCTCCTCCAAGAAAAATCAATGAGGTTTGACTTGATCTCTATAGTTAATTATGTATGTAAATTTAAACAACCAAAACATAATTTCTTTATCTGTAAACTTCTTAATACTTCAGAAAGCTTGTTTTAGTTTTCTACTCGTATTGCTTTGCCGATTATGATATAAGATGAAATTCTTATGGTTGTCTACTGAGAAAGAACGAACAACATGTCTTTGCTGCATTAGCCCGGCAGATCCATCTATTTTTGCACTCTGTGCACTATGTACATAAGTACCCTATGCACTTACGATGGCTAGATTAAATAGCGATCTATAATTAGTATTGAAAAATGCAGAAGGTGTTTTTATGCTTCTATTAGATCAGCAATGCTATAACATTGAATAAATCATCTTCCTATGTAAATATCAGCACACAGCCTCAAAATTAAAGATAAACACTGCAGTTCTTAATAGCAATGAAGGGTCTATTGTTTGCACTAAAATAGACTAGACTGCATTAAGGAAAAAAAAAGAAATACAATATTGCCAGAGGTATCAGAGGGAAGCACTGCACCAAGAGCCTATTAAAGGGACACGGTTTTAAAGCGGAACAAGGTTCATTTGCCAGACTTAAAGTAACAGAGGTCTGAGGTGCTCGGAAAGTGCCTTAAGGAGCACAGCCTGAGCGCTGGGGAAACGGGGGCGTTTCCCCCATTTTATTTCCCCGTTCTTAATTAATTCTCCATAGCCATGACTCAGTAGCTTGCCTTTCCCAGTTTCTTACCTGCCAGCTCAAACACCTTCCCTCTTCTTTAGTCTGTATTTTGTGGGTACTCTCTCTCCGTACAGGTAAACAGAAACACAAAGAACCTTTGCTCTTCCAAAGTCTACAACTAGCCTTTGCTTCATATTGATTACTGACTGATTAACACTTTGCTAAGTTTACTGCTCTATTAAGGGATTTATTACAGGATCTTGAAAGACTATTCAGAAAACCCTTATGGGCTTTATTAGATTAGTGTTAATAATTAGTGCTTCAGCACACAGAAGTAAGATAGGGAATGCATATAATATTTTTTGTTGCTTTTTTCCCCAGCCATGATTATTTCCACTTTCTTCCCTGAGTGTAGCGGCAAACTACACAGTCATTAATGCACAAGAAACCTGTTCTCACCCCTACCTTCTTTTCCAACCCTTTTCCTGAGATAGAAGCTTCACAGGACACATTATGCTAAGTTAAAGGCTAAACATTTCAAGAAACCTCAATGTTTGAGAATCAGCCTAAACTATTTTTTGTTATATTTGGAAGGTATCTTTTTGAAAAAATAAGGATTTCATTTCCATCTGACCACTTTTCAGAACTAGCTTGAGTGATATCCACTTGTCAGCTCATTTAGCATACCTCCACCAGGGCTGTTTTTCTAATCTGGGCAGCCTCATAATTCACCAGGCTTAAACAGTCAATATGATTGATTGCTTATCTTTCAAATTGCTTTCAGCCTTGACTTGTCTTAATATCATAGCACCTGTGTTTTAAAATTATTACTAATAGTCCTTACAGGGCTTTATAAAGAAGCAAGCTTCATTATCCCCATTCTACAAAAGGGAAACCGAGGCACATTTGTGCAGCCACCTGCCCTGAGATCAACCAGCACCAGGAAGAGACGCTTGCATCTCTGTCCAGCGTCTCATCCGCTGACTTACATGGATCTCAGCATATTCCATTAATAGCTGCACTGATGCACCTCAGATGGCTTGCTTGATTCCTTTGAGAGATCGGTGACCTCTGGTACTGCTATTAGACAGGCAGAAGAGAGGCAAAATGCCTGCAATATTCCAACAGGAATATTCCAAACCTTCTGCGAGAGAGGTTTCATTAATGGTAGATTCAGCCTAGTGCCATCCAGAGAACAACAATTGTAGAGGACCGTAATATACATCCAACATATAGAGAAGCTTTGTGGTGGGGTTACAGCAAGCTCCAAGTGTTACTGAAAAATAATTTTCTTTAAGAGGAATGGAATGAACCCCAGCATGTTTTAACCTTTTTCTTTATCACAGACCAGGGCTCAGCCATGAGAAGACATTCTCCCACAGTCCATGCTCTAGTGCTCCAAAAGACTGATGCATGATAGAACGTGATTCCTCTAATTTTCTGTATTTCTACTCACATACTTTTAACTTTCACAAACATAAAATGTACATAACCATGCTGGCACTGATGTTGTCAGCATTAAATCTCAGTCTGATGTTTCCTCAGGGCCCTTCAAATACAAAGTATACCTGATATCTCTATCAGCAGCATAAAAAGATGCTTTAACTTCTTCCATTTCCACTTCTAGTGGTATAGACTGCACACATACTAATACTTGTATTTCAAATCCATTTTAGGGTTGGCAAAATTGGGATGCTGGTGCACTTAGATACACTCTGGGATGAAAAGTTGCATTTTCAGTTGTTTAAGAAAGAAGAGTAATAACTGCAATGTAAGACCTAGAACGCATAGAAAGGGCAGTAAGACATAGCTGCTTTAGGCAGTAATCCATCGCTGCTTTAGGAAATATGGATTACCTGAATTTTCCTCTCTCCACCCACCTAATCCAACAAATGAGTGAATATAACTGACAAGCTATCACTGACATCTCAAAGTAGTTATCTCGACTATCTCAGCGCAGACAGACTTTTGATCTCAAGTTATGATCTTTATGCAGGATACCTTGCTTAGGGCTTCCTTCTCTTTCTTCCTTGTAATCATTCAAGCTGCCAAAACAGATTTAAAGGCTTATGAGAGTCTGCCCACCATCATCCATACATATCAGCGTATGCCATCATTGTCAGATCCACTGTATGCAAGAAGAAACAAGAGCTCACATTTGTCAGGTTGCTGAGTGTGCACTGAGAGCGGGAGATACCCACTGGTACTGCCCTGTGCTCTCCCCTCTCTGTACAGCTGTGTGAACTGCACAGGCAGGCTTCAGGCAGCAGAGAATTTTCTAGCTTTACCATCTGTGCCGAGCCAGTAGCAGCACTTAGTACCTGATATCTTTGAAGCTCTGAATTTTTTTTTACTCCCATTAAACGTGGATCCTGCAATCAAATTTTAGCAAATGAACTCTATAAGGGGGACTGTTATGGTGAACAGAGGTTTAGCCACTGTCAGATTTGGCTTACAATTGGAGGGGGTTTATGGCTGAGAGAAGAGTGGACACAGACTGCTTGACCAGGGTGTCTAAGGATGCAAATCCCGTAACCTCAGAGTACACTTACTTCCTTCCACGGCTTATGATAAAGGCACAAAGTGGTAAGGCATTGTAACAATTTCATTCTCACTCTCTCTTTGACACTAAAATTCAGCAAAAGGCAGAAAAGCGCTTGTGGCAGAGCAGCAGATGAGACAGTGGAGCCAGAAAGCAGCTCTTCAGCTAGCTGTAACAGCCTGTTTCATCTGGGGGGGCAGAGAACCAAGCCCAGCAGGCAAAGAAACAACACTGTCTATCGCTGGAAGACTCCTGAAAGGCAGCTACAAGACAGTATTAGAGTCATACATGGAATAAACTTCGAAATGTTTTTAACTTCTTACATTTCTGTAGCCTGCCAGGCGTGGCATCCAGATACATCTGTGTTGCACAAATGGATAAATTTGTGTCGGAACAGGAATGCCTTCATTCTCTTCACATTAGTCTACGTGTGAAGTTACTCAAGAATATGTACTGTGCAGTCACACCTTGCTGTAATCTACACTCATCTGCAGATCCTGACTTCCTCTTCAAGAATTACACATATAAGCTTTGTAAGATCACCTCTGCTGTCTCCATCATACGTGATGGAGACAACTGCCCCTCATCCCCATGCGCGACTTCTGAACTACTGAAGAGTGACTGCATATAGCATGTAGTGATGAACGGCTGATATCACAGATGAGATAAATCCTGCTTTGCTGTATCTATGCTGCGCCTAAAGCAGCGTACATCTATGCGATGCCTCGATAGGCACCGAGGTTCTTGAGCAGATGGATTTTTTACTAGGATGATGCATCCAAGGGCATCACAGCTCCGAGTTCAAAATTCATTGTTCACTGGTTTGCAGCCTGTTTCTGGTGACGTGCAACGAGTGGGCAATTTTCCATGTACACAGTGGACCCAATCACATTATTAATGCTCCATTTAAGGATCAGCCTGACTAGCGTGAGTACACTACATTGTCATCAATTTGTATTAGCTCCCTGTTTAGCTGACCTCATGCAGAACTGCAATGTGCTGCATCACCTCGTCCTTCTCCAGTGTCCAAGCCAGGGTGCTTTCCTGCTGCTCTCCACTTCAGCTCTGGGGGACGAAAGGAGCACGGTAGAAGCCATACATGGGAGCCATACGCAGGTGACAAGTGACATTACTTCAGCTTAAGAATTACTCTCCTTTCTCCTATAGCAAAAGGTATCAGCATAAGAATTGGAATATCCCTTATATGCTGCAAGCTGTGCGCTGTGACACTTAGGAAAACTGGAGTCACGATTTGTCCTGCCCTTACTTTTAGATTTTGAAGACTGGAAGCAGAAAAGCAGTTTCGGAGACAGGCGCTGCTGTGAAACACCTTTCTCTCAGCTGTCCAAATAACCAGCGCAAACCTTTAGGTCCTCAAGACATGCCGCAAGGTCCAGTTCCTCAGCTAGGTGTCTGTCTCCACGCAAATAGGCTTTTTTTCCCTGTTTGTGGTATTGCAGGAGATGCTTTGTTATACTGCAGAATATCTCTAATATTGCTAATATGGCCTGTTATTAGATTTTTA